GACCAGCTGTGGACAATCCCTAAGACCCAGCCAGCTTGAGCAGCTGGACCCAGAGAATGGCCAGAAAAATGGGTGGATGCCCCAAGAATGATCAGTAATAATAACAACACTTTTGCCATTTACTATGGGCTGGCCTCTATTCTAAGCAGTTTATGGGTGTTAAATTAAAAAAAAAATCCTAGGTAAACCCTCTGAGGTAGGTTTTCTTATCATTATCCCATCCCCCATTGTGCATATAGAGAAACTGAGTTGCAGACAGAGACCCACCCAAGGTCATACACCAGCAGAAGCAGGATTTGAACCCAGGCAGCCCTGCGGGTGTTTCTGGCCGCTTCACTCGATGGCCTTCTATACACAGCCCTCCCCTCCTCGGGAGGGGCAGGGAACCCGAGGGGGTCGGCCTTCCCAGTCTACCGGTCCCTGAAGGGGAGAGCAGGCCCACACCCCGGCGGCTCCAGGGGCTGCAGCCTCATAGGAGTGGGGGCGTGCAACTGCCCTCCCCTCTACTCCGCTCCCTGCCCGAGCTGTCATGGCTAGATCCGGAGCCTCTGCCTGAGACCCCCTCATTAGGCCGTCAGAGCCGACGCCTTACGCCCCCACTCCCGCCCCAAGGGACTATTTCAGGACTCGGAGCTGTGATCACGAAACCTGAGGGCTGAAGGACTCGGCGGGCGGTGCTGTGCGGATCCCAGGCCCGGGGAGGGAGCGTCTTCCTGGATTGAGGCCCTGGCTAGTGGCACCCCAGAATGTTGGGGCGGGACTTTCAGACCCCTGAGGTTAGTGTAAGGCCGATGATAGTGGGAGGGGGAGGTACTGAGGTCAGCACCCCCTCATCCCCCTGTCCCCTCAGGACGGCCTCACAGGGACAGAGCAGTTTCCTCCAGGAAACGCCGCCGGGCGGTTCCATCCGGGCCCATTGTCTGCAGTCCCGGGGGCCGTCCGTCCCTCCCCACAAACACCGTTTCCGAATCACCCCCCCCCCAACATTCAGGTCCAGTGCAAGGGGCTGGCCCCGGATCCCCAAGCTGTTCGGGAGTGACTCTGGGAAAGGGTCCCGGAGTCGTTTGGGGTGCTAGGGGGCGAACAAGTCCCCTACTTAGCTCCTGAAGGGCGGGAGGAAGGCGGTCTCACGAATCCAGAGCTCCCGACTCTGTTCTATGCCCACCTGGGGCTCCCAGTGTGGGAGGGGTCCCAGCCAGAAGGCAGGAGCCCGCCCCGTCGCTGCGCGCTGAGCCCGCAGGGGCTGGAAGGAAAGACCCCGTCCCAGTGGGTCCCCTGACCCCCCCCAAGGACCCCATCGGTGCCCCGCAAGCTGGTGATTTACCTGAAGCCGCAGCCCCCGCCGCGCCCGCACCCGAGCCCGCCCCCTCGAAGCTCGGGGACTGGTTATCAAGGCCTTGGCCCTAACTGACGGCCATGTCAGCGAACCAGCGCCCGAGGCTCTCCAAGCTGTCCAATGGTGAGACGGGGTGGGCCGTGCTGGCCCTGCCCCCAGAGTTTGAGGCGGGGCTGGGGGCGGGGCCTGGAGTGGCTGTCCTGAGGGCGGACCAGCGGGAAT